CAAAAGAATAAGTTCAAAGACTTCAGAGTGTGTACTAGGTTATAGTTATCAGAGCTGCCTATTTTACCAGCTTTTTTTTTTAAATCACCGGAAGTAGAAGTACATTCATCAAGCTATCAGGAATAAAAACAGGAATAATAAAATCAGTGAAACACAAGGCAAGAAGAGGGGCGACCCTTGAACTCCATTCCTTCAGATTTATTTACAGACAGTTCCTTAATTGCTTGATAGACCTCGTGTGTTTTGATCATTTCTACAGTACTAACCTTGTCAACTTGAAAGGGTTCACTGTATACACAGGAAAATAATTTTCTGTAGTGACGTTGCCAAAAATCAACAATCATATTCGTCCCAGAAGCGCCATTGACAGTGCAAGGGAGAGAGGATTTACTGTTGTTGATGGTTTTAACCTCTTTCCAAAAGGCTTTTGTATCCTTACCTATAAGCTTTTTTGCCACGCAGTCAGCCCTCATGGTTTTTTATTCTGGATAATGAACCATAGTGCATATTTGTATTTTGCATTAGACCGCTTTTTATGTTCAAATAAAGGGCCCTGCCTAGGTTTACCTGCTAGAGCCCAAGAAGTAGTAGCTTCACTGTGGTATTTAGACACATAGGTGTTGCAGCCTGGTCTGTTTTGAATCTTTATATTACTTTTATCATAAGGCAGGCCAGCTCCCAGTAGCTTCAATTATATTAGAATATAATCCAGTTATATTGGCTCTGTGTCCAATAATAGAGCAGTTACCGTCTGAACAAGTAACTGCCTCTCTTGGTATTTTAATGGTACATAACAATTGATCAGTTTGGGCATAGTAATGAGCTATTTGATTACTGTTCACATTTAGTTGACACCTCGAAGGGGATGTGGTCAACAGTGGACATATTGCATAAGATATTTAGGTATAGCATAGCAAGATGAGCATCTGCTGTAGTCATACAATGGTCCAACCAAGACACAGTATGCCAGGCTTCAATTACATAAATGTAGCTAGCAGCTGGCAGACGCTCTTTACTTGACAATACTAGATTAGAATTTGTTAAAAAAAAAAATGAATCAGGTGTTTAGCAAACTGAGTTTTTATCTGAGATGTCTGCATTCATGTCACCCATGACAACCATGTTATGGTCAGGAATAAAATGACAAATTAGGCTTTTTTATTAGAATTTCTTTTTTTTTTTGCGCTCTAAATTAATAACTACCCGAGTGATTTCTCATGTGGACAGTTAAATAAAATTTTTTACTCAAACCTTTTCCACAAATAAGACACCAAAAAGGCCTCGTATTTGTGTGAATTACAATATGATTAAGTAGAACATGTTTTTGACTGAAACATTTCCCACAAGTGACGCATTAAAAGGGGGTTCTCCACAGTGTGAGTTCTATGAGCATCAAAAGCAGATTTGAAAGCAAAACACTTTCCACAGGTAGCACATGAAAAAGGCTTTTCCTTCCTATGAGTTCTCTTGTGAGCATCGAAAGCAGATTTGAAAGAAAATTGCTTTTCGCAGATCACACACATGAAAGACTTTTCATCTGTATGACACCTCATGTGACCAGTTAAAAGCCTTTTTTGACAAAAATATTTACCACAGATCACACACAAAAACGGCATTTTCCTGTGTGAATCGTCATGTGTCGAGTTAAAACCTCTTTTTGACAAAAACGTTTTCCACAAGTCAGACATAAAAATGGCTTTTTACCAGTATGAGTTTTCATGTGAGCCTCAAAAGCAGATCTGAAGGCAAAACGCTTTTTACAAATGATACATGAGAAAGGTTTTCTTCTGTCCTGATGTTGGTTCTCAGTTTCATCAGGCTTTTTTAACATGTCTTGGTTCCTGTTTGGTTCTGATTCAGTTTGGTATGTTTGCTCATCAACAGGAACCACCATGCAGGTATCAGTCTCCTGTTTTAATTGAATCAGCTCTTCACCCTGACTGTAGTAAACTTCTTTCTCTTCCACTTTTATCTGCAGGTGTTCTAGATCCTTCGGTTCTCCTTTTATCTGATGATTTTCTGGCTCTTCCTGTTCTTGTTTCACCTGCAGAGGTTCTAACTCCACCTGGTCCAGAGTGGATCTCCTCTCCTGCTGACTTAGCTCATCCTCATAAACGTTATGTTGTAGGTGATCTGGAGAAGAAAACAGAGAAAATTAGGAATTCACTTCATTGAAGTAAATAAAAAACTTCCATCATTTAAGAGAGAAGTCACCCAAACAAAACAAAACAAAAAAAAAAAACCGGAACTCCACTTTAAAACCAACCCGGGAGCAACGTCCCCCAAACAAAAGTTCCGCTTCGCCACTGCTGCTCCGAAACAAACAAAATATAACTTGTTCATTTTTGGAATAAATCGAATAAGTCATACATTAAAATATTTTAAAATTATTTAATAAATATTAATACAACCAAAATAAAATAATGGGGTGGCAGTTTTAGGTGCGCCACATCTTCACTGCATTGATTCTCCCGTGGCTTCAAAAGTATTAACCCTTGAACTTTTCCAAATTTTATCACATAAACACATCTGAAAATATTTCATAAGAATTTTATGTAATTATCCAACATAAAGTGGGATACAATAGTGAAGTAACACTAGACATTTAGACCTTAACCTGCATCCAAACGCTGCTGTTTCCTACCTATTCGGTGTAAGATGATCTGGGGAGTCCGGGAGAAATCAAGCAGTCTGCGCTGATCATCCATCTCTTCCTCCGACTGGACGATGATTTCTTTAAACTCTGTCAATGTTCCTGCAGTTCACTGCTCGCTGATTAACTGGTTTAAGCTGGACTGGAGATATTTATTCGAGAAACACTCAAACATTCAACAAAACAGACCATGTGCTGTCCTCTTTGTCTTCTTCTTCTTCTTCTTCTTCTCTTCTTCTTCTTCTTCTTCTTCTTCTTCTTCTTCTTCTTCTTCTTCTTCTTCTTCTTCTACTTTTTCTTCTTCTTCTCCTTTACATTGTAACGGCAGTTTGCATCCATTGCTCTTGTACTACTGCCACCTATTGGATCCTCATATATGTGTCTCAAATTCTCGTATCTTTGATTTACATATTTTCTATACCTAATAAAAAACATGTTCCATAGAATCACACCAACTTCATAAACCAGTAAGATGTTTCCCCATCTTAAAAAGAGTTCCATTTAAAAAAACTGACTGGTTCTTATTCTATTCATAATTATCTCCTCCCTTGTTTATTCCTCTAACCATTACTACATCAATTGTATATAAATGCCTTCCATTTATTTATATCCCACCTAATTTTCCAAATCTTCTTGCTTCCTCTCCAAACTATACCTTTGTCTTCAGATTTAAATAATTCTGTTATGAACAGCCATAACCTCATTTCATCTCTTTTGCTCTTTGTCTTCTTCTTCTTTGGGGTTTTATGACTAACTGCATTCATGTCATTGCATTACTGCCACCTTGTGGATCCTACGATCATCACAACTACAGATTTTTCTCAGTGCCACTTCTCGTGGCAGAACGTGAAATGTTTTCCTCGTAATAGAAAAGAGCAGAAAAAACAAAAATACAACTAAGACAAAAGACACACAGAGAATTACTGAAGACAATAATAATCAACCAAACTTTTAAAAAATCATGAACAATCAATGAGTGATTTCATAAAGTTTTAAAATGGATTTTTTTTTTATCTAATCATCAAAGAAAATGTAAAGTCAGTGCATAACAGCACATTGTTATTTTTGATAATTAGTGTATTAAGATAAACATCATCCATCCCTCACACTTTCTCTATACAGAATAGAATAATACAAATCAATTCCCCAAGTCCAATCTTGTGAGAATGTTCTGGAAGGGAGTCCATGTCCAGTCAAACTCTGTTAATGCATGAAATTAGTCACAATGGACCACAAGAGCACTGAGAATGGCAGTTGACCTTTTCACTGCTTTTGCAGAACAATGTTCAAATAAATCCCAAGAAGCATTAAAAGCACAATATTATAATATTAATATGAATGCTACAATAAGATTCTGGAACATTGAAACTTTGTGAGACGATTACTTGTTATAATGCATAAATGAAACCGCTGAAAAAGAATGATTAAATGTTTTTAATCCAACAAGATATTACTTATTGTAAGGCATGAATATATTTGTAAGCAAAACAATTACAAAACGACAGTAAGAAAATCTCTCAAGGAAACTGTTGGATCTGAACAGAAAACATTTATCAAACATTTCACAATATGACGAAAGAGATACAGTTGAAGTTTTAAATGCAATAGAATTGAATGGAGAGCCAGCTTCAGGATGTCTGCTATCTCCGTCTCCAGGCCAGTTCTAACGTGCTCTCATACAACTCAATATTTATTACATTGAGGCGTTGCTTACAAATCATTTGCATAGAAGGAGACCAGATTTCAGTCACAAGTCTCTGCTCAAACAATGTTGTCATCCTGCATCCATGCAGCTGTTGTCGTCCAAGCACATTTTCGTAGCTCTTGAAGATCCTGTCTGTAAATTTCTTGAGGTTATAAAAACTTTTCTCTTGTTTCTTGTTTCTCTGGGCTACAAAACAAGAGTTTTCTCAGGACTTCTAGTCTTTGATCCATTCTCCTGCTAAGGTGATAACATTTTCTTTCTGACTGGCATATTTCGTCTAGTCAAGCTATCAGTGTAGCTGCGGCTTCAGGCATTTAGCTTCTCAAATCGGCCTGCTTCATACTGCTACAAACACACATCCTTGGTGCAAATAAATATCACATTTAACAACTTAATTAAAATGTTATTACAATGAAATTAATAGTGAACTTTAAGACTTTCACCAGTGTGAATCCTCATGTGCTGAGTTAAACAAAGTTTATGACTAAAACTTTTTCCACAGTTCTCACATGAAAACGGCTTTTCACACAGTGTGAATCATCATGTGTTGAGTTAATGCCTTTTTCCACTAAAACTTTTTCCACAGTTCACACATGAAAACGGCTTTTCACCAGTGTGAATCATCATGTGTTGAGTTAAATGCTGTTTACGACTAAAACTTTTTCCACAGTTCACACATGAAAACGGCTTTTCACCAGTGTGAATCATCATGTGCCGAGTTAAACAAAGTTTATGACTAAAACTTTTTCCACAGTTCACACATGAAAACGGCTTTTCACCAGTGTGAATCATCATGTGTTGAGTTAATCCCTTTTTTTCAGTAAAACTTCTTCCACAGTTCACACATGAAAACGGCTTTTCACCAGTGTGAATCATCATGTGCCGAGTTAAATGCTGTTTTCGACTAAAACTTTTTCCACAGTTCACACATGAAAACGGCTTTTCACCAGTGTGAATCATCATGTGCCGAGTTAAATGCTGTTTTCCACTAAAATTTTTTCCACAGTTCACACATGAAAACGGCTTTTCACCAGTGTGAATCCTCATGTGCCTAGTTAAACAAAGTTTATGACTAAAACTTTTTCCACAGTTCACACATGAAAACGGCTTTTCACCAGTGTGAATCATCATGTGCCGAGTTAAACAAAGTTTATGACTAAAACTTTTTCCACAGTTCACACATGAAAACGGCTTTTCACCAGTGTGAATCCTCATGTGCTGAGTTAAAACTCTGTTTATGACTAAAACTTTTTCCACAGTTCACACATGAAAACGGCTTTTCACCAGTGTGAATCATCATGTGTTGAGTTAATGCCTTTTTTTTACTAAAACTTTTCCGCAGTTCACACATGAAAACGGCTTTTCACCAGTGTGAACCATCATGTGTTGAGTTAAATGCTGTTTACGACTAAAACTTTTTCCACAGTTCACACATGAAAACGGCTTTTCACCAGTGTGAATCGTCATGTGCTGAGTTAAACAAAGTTTATGACTAAAGCTTTTTCCACAGTTCACACATGAAAACGGCTTTTCACCAGTGTGAATCATCATGTGTTGAGTTAATGCCTTTTTTCAGTAAAACTTCTTCCACAGTTCACACATGAAAACGGCTTTTCACCAGTGTGAATCATCATGTGCCGAGTTAAATGCTGTTTTCGACTAAAAACTTTTTCCACAGTTCACACATGAAAACGGCTTTTCACCAGTGTGAATCATCATGTGCCGAGTTAAATGCTGTTTTCCACTAAAACTTTTTCCACAGTTCACACATGAAAACGGCTTTTCACCAGTGTGAATCCTCATGTGCCGAGATAAACAAAGTTTATGACTAAAACCTTTTCCACAGTTCACACATGAAAACGGCTTTTCACCAGTGTGAATCCTCATGTGCTGAGTTAAACTCTGTTTATGACTGAAACTTTTTCCACAGTTCCCACATGAAAACGGCTTTTCACCAGTGTGAATCCTCATGTGCCGAGTTAAATGCTGTTTTTCACTAAAACTTTTTCCACAGTTCACACATGAAAACGGTTTTTCACCCTTATGAATTCTGATATGATCACTGACAGCATATTTGGCAGTCAATTGTTTTTTACAGATGACACCTGATAAAGGTTTTCTTCTGTCCTGATGTTGGTTCTCAGTTTCATCAGGCTTTTTTAACATGTCTTGGTTCCTGTTTGGTTCTGATTCAGTTTGGTATGTTTGCTCATCAACAGGAACCACCATGCAGGTATCAGTCTCCAGTTTTAATGCAATCAGTTCTTCACCCTGAGTGCAGTAAACTTCTTTCTCTGCCACTTTTATCTGATGATCTTCTTGCTCTTCCTGTTCTTGTTTCACCTGCAGAGGTTCTAACTCATCCAGAGTGGATCTCCTCTCCTGGTTATAAACGTTACACTTCAGGGAATCTGGACAAGCAAACAGATAAAAAGAATAATTGTTAACTTTACTGAAGTAAATAGTAGAAATTGTTCACAGTTTAAGACAGAAATGAACAAAATAACATTGAAAATTCAACAACGTAGACAGAGATACACATCAGTCGACAAATCCAGCTGACATTTGGAAAATTCTCAAATGAACGGATTAAAAAATAATTTTATTGATTACAAAATTAAATGTCGTAGGGATTATTGTTAGTATTTAATAGTAAACTGTATTATTTCAATACATTACTTCTTTTATTACTTTGAATAATAGTTAAATCTAATTTTCGTGCACTTTAAATCCTTGTGGTGAGTTATAAACATGAATTTATTTGTAGGTTAATAGTTGTTTAGTTTTGTTCCTTTCTTATTTGCTTTTCTAAGTTAGACAGGAAGCGGCCCGATGAACGATTTAGCCCGGCCCGGGGTCTAAATGCCCCAGCCGGACCATTACCATTGAAGAAAAATTAATAAAAATGGCCGACACTACGACATCTGAAGACATTTTCTGCTCTGTTGTTGGACCGTCCCGCGCCGTAAGCCTGGCTACTGATGTGCGCCGTCAATGATTGGGAAAAAGACAGGTGTTGTGACAAAGTTCAGAGAGAAAGTACAAGCTGCAAATAAAGGAGGGAGTTTTGGACATTTCATTGTATTTTGCATCAGGAAGCATTAAGCTGCAAGTCGCTAAAAATGCACCATGTCATGGAGGTGGTTGTCCGAACTGTAAATTTCATCCGAGCCAGAGCTCTCAGTCATTGTCAGTTTGCTGAGAGAAATATTTCTCATGCATGCAATACATGTTATGTGTGAAAGTTTTTCTATATGTATATATTTTATGCATCAACAAGAAAGGCGACAAATGTACTTCATCAAAGTCTGTTTAAAACACCTGACACTTAAAATTTCAAATGTGTGAAGCTCGCGAATTTGTTCAAATTGCTTCCCAGATGTAGAAAATTGATCTTAAATCATTTCTTAATTTTTATCTGTTCACTGCGTGTGACGTTTACGTCGCTGGGCGCCATCTTGTATGGCAACATTCCAAAACAAACCTTTTCTGATGGTTTTATAGCGTTTCCGCTGTATCTTCCTCTCCCATAATGCTGAAAAGCAGTTTGAAACAAAGTGGGCTATATTGCAAAAAGCTTCTCCCAGAAGCCCCAAAAAAAACTCTACATGGAAAAATATCTAAAATTGGACAAATCGACCCGTTAGAAATAAAGAGTTGGAGCAGAGACCCTGATCATCCTCTAATAACAAGATAGAAAGACTTTGAATTACTTTGGATTTACACATGTACAATGAAAGAAAATCCAGTTGGAAAAGTGCAACTAAAGTATGAAATATGTACAATATAAACCTAAATATGCAACTGCTGGAGATGCATCAGCAACTCTCGCGATAAGCGAGTTAGAAAACGGATGGATGGAAACCAAACACACAAATAGTGTTGCACTCACGAAACAGACTCTTCTTCAGTTTCGGCAACTTTATTTGCACATGATGTGTGTATTTGTTTTGGGGCTGCCGTTACAAAGTCCCTTCTTCAGAGCTACAACGTTTTAACTGACTACTGACACTACTTCCACTACACAACGAAACACTGACGCAGCACAAAGCTCAGATTGTGAGAAACTCCATTTTCTCTCCATAAATCAGCCATTCTCATTGTGATGTCTGCGTTCATTTACCTGCTAACAAAACATTTATCCGGAAAAGAGCGTTACTAAAATGATCCTCATGCAGAAAGGTGCAGACATTTAGACCTTAACCTGCATCCAAACGCTGCTGTTTCCTACCTATTCGGTGTAAGATGATCTGGGGAGTCCGGGAGAAATCAAGCAGTTGCGCTGATCATCCATCTCTTCCTCCAACTGGACGATGATTCTTTAAACTCTGTCAATGTTTCTGCAGTTCACTGCTCGCTGATTCACTGGTTTAAGCTGGACTGGAGATATTTATTAGAGAAACACTCAAACATTCAACACACAGACCATGTGCTGTCCTCTTTGTCTTCTTCTTCTTCTACTTTTTCTCTTCTTCTCCTTTACATTGTAACGGCAGTTTGCATCCATTGCTCTTGCACTACTGCCACCTATTGGATCCTCATATCTATGTCACAATTCTCGTATCTTTGATTTACATATTTTCTATACCTAATAAAAAGTTCCATAGAATCACACCAACTTCATAAACCAGTAAGATGTTTCCCATCTTAAAAGAGTTCCATTTAAAAAAACTGACTGGTTCTTATTCTATTCATAATTATCTCCTCCCTCCTGTTTATTCCTCTAACCATTACTACATCAATTGTATATAAATGACTTCCATTTATTTATATCCCACCTAATTTTCCAAATCTTCTTACTTCCTCTCCAAACTATACCTTTGTCTTCAGATTTAAATAATTCTGTTATGAACAGCCATAACCTCGTTTCATCTCTTTTGCTTTGTCTTCTTCTTCTTTGGGGTTTTATGACTAACTGCATTCATGTCATTGCATTACTGCCACCTTGTGGATCCTACGATCATCACATCTACAGATTTTTCTCAGTGCCACTTCTCGTGGCAGAACGTGAAATGTTTTCCTCGTAATAGAAAAGCAGAAAAAACAAAAATACAACTAAGACAAAAGACACACAGAGAATTACTGAAGACAATAATAATCAACCAAACTTTTAAAAAATCATGAACAATCAATGAGTGATTTCATAAAGTTTTAAATGGATTTTTTTTATCTAATCATCAAAGAAAATGTAACATCAGTGCATAACAGCACATTGTATTTTTGATAATTAGTGTATTAAGATAAACATCACCATCCCTCACACTTTGTCTATACAGAATAGAATAATACAAATCAATTCCCCAAGTCCAATCTTGTGAGAATGTTCTGGAAGGGAGTCCATGTCCAGTCAAACTCTGTTAATGCATGAAATTAGTCACAATGGACACAAGAGCACTGAGAATGGCAGTTGACCTTTTCACTGCTTTTGCAGACAATGTTCAAATAAATCCCAAGAAGCATTAAAAGCACAATATTATAATATTAATATGAATGCTACAATAAGATTCTGGAACATTGAAACTTTGTGAGACGATTACTTGTTATAATGCATAAATGAATAACGCTGAATAAGAATGATTAAATGTTTTTAATCCAAACAAGATAATTACTTATTGTAAAGGCATGAATATATTTGTAAGCAAAACAATTACAAAACAACAGCAAGAAAATCTCTCAAGGAAACTGTTGGATCTGAACACAAAACATTTATCAACATTTCACAATATGACGAAAGAGATACAGTTGAAGTTTTTAAATGCAATAGAATTGAATGGAGAGCCAGCTTCAGGACGTCTGCTATCTCGTCTCCAGGCCAGTTCTAACGTGCTCTCATACAACTCAACATTTATTACATTGAGGCGTTGCTTACAAATCATTTGCATAGAAGGAGACAGATTTCAGTCACAAGTCTCTGCTCAAACAATGTTGTCATCCTGCATCCATGCAGCTGTTGTCTTCCAAGCACATTTTTGTAGCGCTTGAAGATCCTGTCTGTCAATTTCTTGAGGTTATAAAAACTTTTCTCTTGTTTCTTGTTTCTCTGGGCTACAAAACAAGAGTTTCTCAGGACTTCTAGTCTTTGATCCATTCTCCTGCTAAGGTGATAACATTTTCCTTCTGACTGGCATTTTTCATCTAGTCAAGCTATCAGTGTAGCTGCGGCTTCAGGCATTTTGCTTCTCAAATCGGCCTGCTTCCTACTGCTACAAACACACATCCTT